ACTAAAATGAGAGTCAGGCATGGTGGATTGATCGAACAAGGACATATACATGTGAAACGATCAAGGGTCAAAGTTAAAAATACCACTGCGCAATCCTGACCAAGAAAAAAACCACGGGCGATGCGCGACTGGCGTCGCGCGACTGGCGACGCGCGACTGGCGACGCGCGACGGGTTTGAAAGGCGGTTCATGGCAGTGAAGCGCACTCCCTATTAGTCACAAAAAGTGGTTGCGCGCAACACAACACCCAATCATTGTTCGGATACTATAAGGGGCGAATCGTGTCAGTGAAGCGCACTCCCTATTGGTCACAAAAAGTGGTTGCGCGCAACACAACACCCAATCATAGTTCGGATAGTATGAGGGGCGAATCGTGTCAGTGACGATGATTGGGTGTTGTGTTGCGCGCAACCACTTTTTGTGACCAATAGGGAGTGCGCTTCACTGACACGATTCGCCCCTTATTATGGGTGCGTTCGATTAGCTTCCCTGAACACACCAGTGTTACACTCAAGGGAAGCCTCAAAATGAGGCTTATCGAACGCTGCAGTGTGTTTTCCAAGGCATTCTGAGAAAAAGGTCAAGTCCCCGCCACGTTCCATCATGTACGTCCATGCTCAAACAGTCCATCCGTGACGTCATTACTCTCGGGCAGCCTCCAGAGACCCGCTCGCCAGCTGGGGTAGTGGTGGCTGACACCAGGGCAGGCACGAACGTCACGTGATGGCTAAACGAACGCTCTCGTGTAAGTTTGACTTACACGTGTAAGCTAATCGAACGCACCCAGTATCCAAACTATGATTGGGTTTGTGTTGCGCGCAACCACTTTTTGTGACTAATAGGGAGGGCGCTTCAACGCGCGACGGGCGACGCGCGACGGCAGATATGGAATTCTTCGATGATGGTCTGTGCATAGTCTCTAGACGTCTTTCGGACGCTGATTACTCTTGATACAGCCTCGCTTCAGGGTGCCAGTCTATACTTTTTTTTTATTAAGTACTTGTAAACAGTGCAACGCGTGTAACACATCTCAAGAATGACTGAGCCTGAGGATTGCAAGGCAGTCTTGCGCAACGAAGTTATCTGTCTAATAGATGGACAGATCGATGATGTTAAGACTCTAAGTAAGGTGAAGGGGCTACTTGAAGGTGCACTTGATGAAAAGAAGCTCCTTCAACAGCAGGTAGATTGATCAGACTTAGCCTTTCATTCATGACCGTGGTGCTTATTGTTATTATTATACGTGTATTTCCGACATATTTCCCGAATGTCAGCTGAACTTGCGCAAAACTGACAGAAGGTTTTACTAATGCAGGGAGAACTATGGGAATAAGAAAAGGATTAAGACCTAGATGGGAGAATTATGAACATGATAAAATGTGAGCCAAGATAAGAGATCAAGTGGGATAATCTGGAAGAAGCCAGCTAGATTTTGCCATTTTGGGGACAGTGGCTATTTGATCTTGAACCAGTCCCATGTGCTTGCTCTTTTATTGCATGGCTCTCAAGGCTACCAAGTGAAATAAAGCTTAAAATTACAGAAGGTCTGAATTCCCTTTCGTACATGAATAATGTGCTTTACCATATTATTATATTTATAGGCCTAGTCACTGGGTCCCTTATTTCGCCACTTACTGTGAAAACCAATCAGACTTAACAATAGGTGGCGAAATTAGGGACCTGACGACTATAACGTTGTGTATGTTACACATTTAAAATGTCAAGCCTCTCAACATTAAGAACAAGTGTGGACTTCATCGGCCACTTATACACAAGGGTCATATAGCCTGATGCTTTGCTTAAGGTCACTTTTTTGTGATGTCAACACGTTGTCAGTTCAAGTTGCTTGTTTCTTTTGTGTCCCCCATCGGAAGTTGACAGCCGTCAGTCATGAAACCCCAACCAGAATCCAGGAAGCTCTCCGGGAGGCGGAATCGGCTGTGCACCAGCTGGAGTCCCTGACGACATCCAACAAACAGTCCCGACGGTCCGCCAACAGCCATCTCCACCGCGCCAAGCCCATGGTGCAGGAACTCAGACAGATGACCGAGAAGGTCCAAGAGCTGGAGAGGTGCATGGAGTACATGAAATGGCTGGCACTTGTTGAAGACCTCAGGTAAGCTTGTTCCTCCCCAACTAAAACATCTGTCCCAACCGTAGACTGTACCCAGCTGTAGTCTTAAATATAGTGCTGTAGTTGGGCCGGCCCAACTATAGTGCTATAGTTAGAATAATTGCAACTATAGTTTGGATGATCCCAACTAGAATTGGGACTGATGGTGTAGTTTGGGTGTTATAATCTGATACAGTTCATCCCAACTGTAGCATCAGCCGTAACTATAGACTAATCCAGCGACCAGAATTTGAAGCCATTACAGCAGGGCCATCCTGTTGGAACGCAGGCAGTACGCACACGTTGCTCTCAGAACAAAAGGGTGTTGTGACTTGCCACAATGCGCACGCACCTGCTCAAGTTGAAACCCTTGCGTGAGTGTGATGGTCCGACGGGAATGGCATCTCCTCGGTTTTGTCTGTAGAAATAGAAATATAGTAGTTGGGTCAGTCCTGCTGTAGTATCTTGGTCCGGACCATCCCAATCATGGTGAGGACCGACGCTATGTCACAATATAAACGCTTAGCTTTTCAAGAGGAATACACTGAAATACTAACCCCTGTAGTTATGTAATTACCCAGCCTACCACCAGAGCTGTAAGGTTTTCCCAACCTGCTCACACTGATTCTCCAAGCAGGGACGCAATGCTCGTTGGACATTTGATTGCAAAGAACCTGCCATTGTGTTCCTGCAGTGAGAAGGACTCGGGGAGATTCCAGGCAAAAATGTGGAAAGGGTTATTAACCGTGTAGAAGTAAAGACCTGTTGTCCTACGTGTACATATTTGTGTACGTGTACATAGTTTGACCGTATATTTTGCACCCGCTAGCATAATTTAGGCTTCACCTTTAGAGAAGATAGCATTTATCCAATGAAAGCATTACATTGTACACTTTTAACCCTGACGGACCTCAATCCTTCCGTGGCTGGAGGGCGGTGGACTGTAAGGCTTAATCAATGTCATCTAATGCGAGGCTCCCACAAGTTCATTTCTGTGTTACCTGGAAACGTTACTCAACAACAGTAGATGTTTATATGTGGTTGTGAATGTGTAGACATCAAATGAACACGATTTGCTGTGGGTCGCTGGCAATTAATTCCTGTCTTTCCCATGTTGTCTTTTACTAACCTCTTTCTTGCCACTCGACCTGCTGTGATTCACCCCCCAAAACTGCACTCTCTGATCCCACCCACCTTGCTCCCTGCCACTAACAGCTCGGAGATCCAAGGCTCGCTCCTGGTCAACTCGGCTCCCTTTAAACTCTTCCACAGCTCCGAGGTGCAGAAAGGGATCTCCATGGGGGCAATGCCAAGCGCCGTGGCCCATTTTGCCAAGCTCGCCCAGGTGAGCGAGGCCCTACAGGGCTCGGCGTGCACCAACCTGGTGGCCTTTGTGACCTCCACGATCCTGTTCTGGTACAAGATTCTGAAAGAGAAGCTGTCTAGGTCAGTCTGAAGTTATATACCCACAAATTGTATGTGATTATATTAGGAAATCAGTTACCTTTATCGTAACACTTATTAACCAAAGTTCATTGCAATGGATTGATGCTTTTTTTTTTACTGTGGACTTTGTAGACAAACTACAAATGATGTAACATGTGTGAGCACTCAAGAGCTCCATTGTGTGGGACACAGCGTATACACCAAGCAGTTTGTTCCCATTAGGCAGGAAGTACACCTGACTAAATTTCATCTGAATGTGCACAAACCCATAGCATTTTCACATGGGATCCAGGAGCATTAAACATTGAATTGGCAGTGGCTGCAGAAATGACCCTCTGAGTGAATGCTCTCATAAACACTGCCACTAAGCCATATTTTTCTATCCATGTGCAAGTTTAGTCTCTCTCTCTACCTGTAGTGAATTTGAGGAAGTCCTGAAGGCATTCAACTGGCCGTTTGTCCACAGTGCAGTCCCCATGCCACCTCCGCCAGCCCAACAGGTTGAACTCAAGAACCGCCTGGAAACACTGTTTGGGCAACTTGTCAAACTCCAACTTCCGTATCCTTGCGATTTGTGGAACTGTCAGTCTTCATGGAAATTGCTTTAAAATGTAAAGACAGTAATTTGTGAATGTTGTGACTATAGTAGCAAGCCTTCCAAATTCTACATTTACGACATTGTACAACATTAACCCTTACCCTCCTCAATCCTTCACCTGTTGGAGGACTGAGGAGTGTTAGGGTTAAAGCAGTACAAATTGACATTAGGTTTCACTCATCTGTCACGTGAACCAGAGTTTGGGCCTGGCAATGGATATGATTTTTTTTTTCGTGTTTTGTTCTTTGTTGTCGATTTCTTTTTTCAATTAAATACCATTTTACCTTTCACACATGTTTTTCTGTTACTTTTTTGATAGATTCAAATCCCTGGAGGATTTTTTTTGTTTGTTTTCAGATTTTTTCAGGAGAAATACCAAAAACACATCTTCATTGCGTATGAGCTCCTTAATCATGCCACTCCAGAGATACCTTAGTCTTTGAAGATTCCACTGCTCGAGAGTACAGTCACCTCCCAGGGTCACGACCTCTTCTGTTGCCACTCCATCTGTTACTTCAGCCACTGAGGAAACGATTTCGGTATCACTTCCACGGAAAAAAACAGACCAATGGACTTGATAAGGTAAACCCATGGGCTCTGCGAATAAAGTGGGTCTCTAGCATTTCAAATCCGAACCTTTTTTGGAAAGTGACAACTTGTCAGTCACTCAAACCCACAACTTTACTGTTATGCACCTACACTGGTATAGACTGAATTTCCATCGTAAAATCTATAAGGGTACAGATCCTGTTACTCCAAAATTTCTCTAAACCTCCAGTTTTTTTGTAAATGTTATCAGACCAGTGTCAAAATCACAGAAACATACATTCACACTTCGAATTGAGAAAAGTATGTGTTTTGTTTAAAAAAAAACCACACAAGGCAAAGATCTAGTTCTTTCTCAGGTACAGCATTGGTGCTTATTAGAGGACTCGGTCCATCATTAGACCAGTGCATATTTCAAGCCCTGCTAGGGAGCATTCCATATAGTACAAAGCAATGGAGGTTTTGCACAAAGTATGAGCAGAAGAGCAATGACAGGAAGCCCTAGTATTTGTACATGTGTTGCCTGCTGGACTCCTGATGGTTCTTGGTGTTGCAGCCCGAATGGTACCTGACCCAAGTCTTGAACTGGATACGGGACCACAGCGATTTCCTTGACAACACCATCCAGCCCATACTAGATACCAAGGACCTCTCGCATATCAGTGCAAAGGTAAGGACATTTCGTAGTGTTTTCTCCACAAATAAAGATACTGCTTAGATTCTGGGCAATGTGAAATATCTGAAATTTCTGCACTCATGATTTGGTATATGCCATCATTGCTTGGACTTTTTGTAGGGGGTCTAAAGCAGTGTTCTCCTAGACTATATATCACCCTCACTCTCCTCCAACTACGGAGTTGATGGTCAGTAAGTCAGCATAAGTAACATATAAATTAAAATTGTTCAAAATTAGAAAAAAATTGGTGAGTGTGATATATGCACAGTGTTTTGAATCAGGTGGAGTTCATCCGAGGCCTTCTCAACATCGTAGCAGCCAAGCTTGAGCACGACATCCCCGAGCTTCTCTTTGACGAGCATCTACTGTCCCACACCATCGATGAGCACCTGCTCTTCAATCGGGAGGTCAGGGGCAGCTACAGTTATCCTGCCGGCCAGCCCGACTGCCTGCACGTCCTGACGGGCAAGGAGTGCTTTGAGAGGTGGCTGGTGGTGGAGAAGAAATGTAGGTTTGTTGACGGGCCGTCCAACCTTTCTCTCCTCGGTGGGATAGGAGCAGACTAGTCATAAGTCACAGTAATTGAACATATCTCTCGCATTTGATGAAGGCATGGGCATACTAGCCGAGTTTCTCATGCCAACAATTTTTAATTGAAACTGGCATGTAGTGTTACACTGATACAGTGTTAAGGTTTTACCGATATCCGAAATGCAATAGCTGCTCCTGAAATATACTGTTAAATTGTATTTAAAAAGAAAACCAGGGTTTTTCTGTTCTACCTTGCTAGGATTATTTGGAAAGCAAAGCCTTGAACTTGGGTGCTGACTTAAATAAAATGGGGGCAACGTTGCTGCCGCGCAGTTTCTAAAATTCCATTTATTGTGGTATTTCATGAGTTTTCATCTATTGCCTATTGGCCAAACTTACAAGTCCTGTGGCGTGTAGCGCAGGGTACTATGGTATCTTGAACTGGCTACACTGAAGCCTTTCGTGATTTTTGTGTGCATGCATTATGCACCTTCTATTAGATGCTGGCTCTTATGTGAGTAATATCCACATGGGATACTAAAGCAGAAAGCTAATTTGAAGAGCTAGCCCATTTCTGACACCAGAGATATGACGTCCTGTGAATGAAGAACATAGTTGATATCTTTTGACCCATGCTTTCCATTTTCCACAGTTGCAGTTGAGAAGATAGACTCCCTTCTAGCATCGTCAGCTGCCTGGTCGCCACAGTACAAAGACTTGGAGGAAACAGACGATCTGAAAGTTCCAGAATGTGTAGAAAGCTTCATGACATTAATGTTAGTCATAACAGGTAAATGCTTGGAGTACCGTGCTGAATAGAGAACTGACCAGGAATAAGTAACGTGCCGTTGATATTGATCAAGGCTGGAGTTTTTCTTCTACAGTGTATTACCATTTGCGAGCAATAGCCATGCCTCTTGGACACCCCCCATGGAATTTTTTACGCTGAGTTTTGTCTCAGGTTGTGTGCATCCAGCATTGGGCCACTCTGTATATCATATAATCGGACAAAGATTTCAGGAGCTATTCTGGCACAGTTCTTTCGTTGTAGGTCAGTTTCTTCAGAACTCTGCAAACCAAATCATCCTCAGAGAGTTGGTGATTGCTACAAAACAATATTTCAGCCAGAGCAAAAGGTTTTTTCCACGGCCCAGATCAACAGCTCACCCATTGTTTAACAGTGCCAACAAACAATAATTGAGATTTGTAATTAATAATTCTGCAGAGCGCTACAAGGTTCTCCCCTCCCCGACCCATCACTTGAGGTTCCTGGAGTTGCAGCTGGACCTACTGGATGACTTCAGGGTGCGTCTCTTGCAAGTCATGAAGCAGGAGTCGGCAGATCCCCTGGCCGGGAGGCACAGCGCCATCCTGAACGGAGTCAACTACATCATGGACATCCTCAAGGAGTGGTCGGAGCAAGTGGTAAGTAAAGCAGCATAGAGAATGTTGTGCAGAGTTGTTGAGTTGTCTCAGGAAGATTTCTTGCAAGTTCCAGGGTTAAAACTCGGCTCACTTTTATTTTTGTCATTTGGAACCTTGAGCTTCGACACCGACACTCAGACCTGGATTGGACATCAGTTTCTGTACACGTTTTTCCGAGCTTTCTGCATATGGTTTGTTGAATATTCAATTCTACCAGAGTTATTTCCTGTTTCAAAACCAGGGCTAGGTAGTGTCAATGAGATATTTGCCTAAAAGCCATACTTGGCACAAAAACGTCTCATTGTGACATAAGAGCAAATATGCATATTGCTTATTCACAACACTTGAATACATTTCATCTCAAGTGATCATCACCGTATTGTTGAGCACTGCTTCACTCTCGTACCCGCCTGACGTATGAACCAGTCTTTAAAATGGCAGCTTTCAAAACAGTTCTATAGTGCAGTTCTTACGTTTAACCCCTTCGCGCCAGGACGCGGATAGAGCCGCCGTACAAATTGAGATCCTCAGCCCGCTTTTCAGCTATTATTCTCGGCCCACACTTGAGCGAACATGGTGAAAGAAGGCAGACCCTGGCTCTTGTATA